TTTTGTTTCAAAACTTCAGATCGTAATTAGTGGAATGCTGCATTCCTAGAATGAAACTTTGACTTCATAGGCTATGGTAATGAAATAATATATTTGAATCAATAGTTTGAATTAAGAGCATTATTTCTATCATAACATGATTTTACAATTCGTAAGTATACTGGAGTTTGAGAGAAATATTAAATAAGACCTTTCCACACTATCGCTTATATCACATTTGGCTTAAGAATTACATCATTGATATTTTCACCTCTCCTTTAAAGAGTAACTGGGACAGGTGAAGTTCCTTTGAAGGTCTCTTGTCGCGTTGTCAAGGGCTTTACTCTTAAGGTAACAAAGGAAGATACAATTACGAGTAGCCAATAGTCATATACTGGTTATTGCTTTTTGTAATTGGAATAATTCGTAATATTGGTTATTACGAATTATATTTGCCCACATCCATATCTTTTTAGAAAATTTTTATTTAGCGTGTTTAGATAAAAGCAAAAAAAATCGGGGCAATTATTCAATATGTTAAAAAGGATATCTAGACCTTCAATTAATGGCGGGTTGAATTTTTCGGTTTTTACAAATCTTTTCTCTTCTTTTTTCCGCTGCGGAGGAGGGCGGCGCGGGCGACGGCGCCGGCGCCGCCGGGGCCTGCAGCTGGGGGGCCGGTGGGGGGTGTTGCGGCTGCAGGGTGCCCGCCGACCGGCCGCGGTGCAGGCGGCCCGACCAGGGCACCTGGCGAGGGAGGACAGGGAGGGCCCGCGCTCAGTGCGGGGTTTCACGCACGCCCACTTTCAAGAGGACACTCCTCAAAGGCAACAATTCAAATTTTTGAAACATTTTGGAAAACTCGCAGTGGTGCGGGGTGAACGTGTGCTGGGACCTTAAATTCGTCTCCGTAAAGACTTAAAATTACTGCGTTTCTCTAAAAATACTTTACAAATTTAAATCATCACAGAAATTTTGCGTTGATTGAAAACGTATATACTGGATTCAATGCTATGGCAAATTTCCAAAATAATTCATTGCTCATTCAATGCTCCGAACAAAGACATAAACCCGTGTTTCAAGTACTTGGGCAATCAAAACTAGAAGGAGGCCATGATGACAGAATTTTGCAGGAAAAACCCGACAGAAATACGAAGGTCTCCAAAGCACCAGCACCAGTCTACATTTTTCTTATCAGATATTGAAGTTTTCTAGGGAATCTACACTGCGTAAGATACACTGTGCTATACTTTGTGCGGGGTTCCATGCGTGGCCTGACGGTTTGGAAAGGCGTTTGAGGAAGAAAATGGACCTTTGCATGCTGCGATGCCGAACATTTCAAGCTATTAGAAGGGGAAAATGGTCCATAAATTTTACACCAAGTCACTCCTCAATATCTAGTCAATGTGGGGAAGAGAGGGTGCATGCTCAACGCAGGTCACTCATTCCAGCTTGCAAGAAAGAAGATATAAATTGCAAATCATCCATAGTAAAATCGTGAAATTTCAAGAATGTAACAAGGGAAACAATTTTTTCGGTCTGTGGGAACCGATATTTTCACTTTACTGAAACAATTACGTTTCATGCAAGACAAGATGTTATTGAAAAAAAATTGTTAATGAAAAAGTGTTTACATAATCAATTTAGTTTGGGACATGGACATAGAAGATGAGGAAAGAAACAAATGAATTGTTAGCTACTTGATAAAGAACCACTAAATATATAATAAAATTATTTCTATTTTACGGGTAAGGTAATGAGATGTATTGAGAACTAGTTGAAGAAATATATACAATTTGACCCTTTGGAATGGCAAGGTTCCAACTGACAGAAATACAGAAATGATTGATAATGTTGTATTGGAATTCTCCTACAAGCAGAACACACTCATGCTGTAATCGGTTAAAAAAAAGCTACCATAAAGTCACTACTGTACGTGAAGATATTTGTATATCTGATTAAGAGAAGATGTGAAACCTTGACTTCACTTTACTTCCAACAACTGAAATGTTCTTTCAAACCTTGCCACTACATAGGGTTGAATTGTTTTATTAATCATTAATGTACATGTTTTGTGACCACAAGTAAGGTTAGAGACATTAAATGATTTCAAGAACAGTAAATGAGACAGATTTGACAATGCTTATTATTTGCGACTCTCGGAAATACTATAAGGAATAGTATTAGCAATCACAAAAAATACTAACTTAGTGATCTGCAAAAATATTGGTTTATTATGTATTGTGATTAATCTACGAGTGGTTATAAGAAACTTGAAAATAGATGGAATGGTCAAGTTAGGTAAACTCCGATTTAAGCATTGAGATACTACAAGGTCACGAGCTGTGGTGTGGAGAGTGGTACATTGTCATCCAATTGGGAGGTCCGGTACAAAACAATTAAGTCGTAACGAAGCTCCCGATGGGAGACAGTGTCCACCTTTCCCTCCAGTTCGTCACCTTCAAATGCCACAGTGTTTAAATTAGAGTGTACTCACCAGAGTTATGGCAATTTACAACAAGATAGCGAAATCTTTAAATATCCTGATTTTACCTGTACATTTTCGCATCCGCCTTTGCAGTGGCCTTAACAATCACTGACGCAGCTCACCTCGGGCAGCGTGAGAAAGCGCGACGACTCGTAGGAGACCCTGGGCATGGAGCGGGAGCGCGGCCGCACGTACGGCCGGCCGCCGGCCGC